CTCCTTCTGGAGTCATAGCTCGTAAGAACCAGTGATAAGACTGGAACTCAAGCTTTGTAGATTTAAAAGTAATTGAATTTACCAACAAAAATCAGAAAAGATTTCAAAGAAATAATATTTAGAACAAGTCAGAGCCTTGTAAGCCCCTCTTTAAAACAGGTTTTAAAATATATAGTTGGCCATTTTATTTAACCACATCCATAGTTTAAATATCATGGTTAGAATAGGATATTTACCAAATGCAGTTCTGAACTGGTGAGCTTTCTGAATTAAGGCATATGTCTGTACTACACAATTTATGATCTACACTCCATGTCAAGCAGGTATCGTCCTCATTTATGTGGGTACATAAAAATCCCAAAACAAAGTGCAGCAAACCACTAATTTAACTACTGTGATTTTTAAAATATGAAAACTAAGAGAGATTGGGTGAGAAAAAGATTAACTTTGACAAAATCTTTTTCTATATGACTTAAATATTGTGAGTTGCAAAATTGTTTCACAGAAGTATTATTTGGAGAAATTTTAAATAATACCTTTTAAAATGTAAATAAAAGAATAATTAAAACTTTTAATCTAGAAACCTAGATTGAGAAATAAATACAACTATGAAAAAATATAGGTTAAGTGCTACCTTTGCCAGATAAATATACAAAATTGTAGAAATTTAGAGCTGAAGGGATCTTGGCGATCACCTAATTCAGTGATCTTATTTTAGTGGAAAGATACTGTGGCTTAGGGTCTGCCACAGATTAAATTTGGAGAAATTCAGACTTAGGTTTGGTATTTTTTAGGAGGTGGAAGGGGCGATGATCCATGGAGTGTCAGTTGGGACATAAAGTAGTTTGTGACTTCCTTTCTTTAAAAACTTGTCTTTTTGGGTTATGAGGAGTTTTTTTAAAAAAGCACGCTAATTTGCTAATAAAGTACAGAGAAAGAAGTTCAAGAACTTGGCCCATTTTTTTGAAAGTTAGTGACAGAGTCAAGATTAAAAGCATACCCTTGATTATCATGACAACTTTTATTTATGTAATGTCACTGTAACCCCTCTTTGGCCCACTGAGCCAATTCTGCCCTCATAATGCCCCCATGAGGCTGCCCAGAGCAGTGTCAGCCAGTGAGCCTGTGAGGGTGAACAAGTGAAATTACAAGAGGAAATGTCTAAGAAGGGTCCCAGAGGGCAAGAAAAAAGACAGATGTTAGTATCTTAATTCCTCCAAACCTAAGTAGTTTGTCTTATGGTAGCAGAGACATTATACTAATGGAAATACCAGAGTTTGTGAAAATTTCCAAAAGATAAAGCTGTCCCTTAGGATTCAGTAGCTTCATGGCTTGCAAAGGAGCTAAACCTAAATGTTTTAGGCAGTGCAAAGCTGGGCTCTTAAAACTTGCCTCAAGATAATGGAAACAGAAACATTCAAAGTACCTTTATCTTCTTGGAAGTAAATGTGACAATAAAATAATGATTTGAAGGTCGTACTGAAAGTTGTAAGGCTACATTTAAAATGCAAAATGCACATAAAGGCAGTATCTTCACTGGTAATGAAATTCAGTGACTTTGTCCTGAACTGAAGTTTCTATAGGAAAGTGTTGTTATTTTTGGTAAATAAAAATATAAAACACATGTGCTTAGGGCTTAAATAAATGTGTGAGCAGTTTCTGTGTTTTTTTATTTACCCTCACTGTAGCTCTCTAAAGTGATACTGTCATTATCCCCATTTTCAAGCGTGGAAACTGAGGATTAAATAACTTAAGTAACTTATCCAGGATCATAGACCAGTGAATGATGGAGCCGGAACTTTAACTCAGTGTTAAACTCCAAACTCAAACAACCAATAAAAGTTATTACTTCATTTAACTAAACTCCAAGTCCATAAAGTGTTAACCCCATATGTGTCTGATAGGCTTTCTTTATGACGAGTTTGCAAAATTTACTTTTAAATTACTGGTAAATATTAATGGTTGATTAAGAGTAACCACTTGTTGTAGAAAAATCTAAGAAATTCAGAATTTCAGCTAAAAGATTATTTAGTGAAATCTGAACGCTTCGTGTAACAGGCTGGAAAGCTGTGGCACAGAAGCTTACTGACACTCAATAGCATATTGCTGATTAGAAGTTTGCAACATTTTAGGCTAAACACTAATTAAAATCCATTGATTCTAATCAAAACCATACAACATACCAGATTTTCACTGCATAAAATATTTTTAAAATAATTTATTAGTTAACAACCCTCTTCTAAATCTTTGCATCCTTAGTGCTTTGCACAGTGCCTGCTTAGCATGTAAAACAGGAACCAAGTTTTTTTAAGTATAATCATTACAGTTTTAGAATCCAAATAAGTATAATCATTACAGTTTTAGGATCCAAAGCATGTTTAACTTGTTGTGTAGTAATTTTTATGTACCTCTGAACATTCCTCTGCTAGGAACATATGTTGTATCAGCAATAATTTTAGGCTGTGATTCCCGTGTGGCCTTTGAAGAACTTTTTTTGTTGCTTCTTGGTTTTAGCTTTGGAAATCTGGAGAAACCCAATTAAGATTTAATATTACAAAAAGAAATAAAATACCTAAAACATTAAGTATGCACTGAAAATTGTTTACTAAAAACTGAAACAAGTAAAAAAACATTCCCTTATTTGAAAAATGCGTTTCATTAGAAATCTTATGATTTAGTTAAAAGGCGCAGAAGATAAGTTATTGCAAGTGCCTGTAGGATGCCACTTGAAAAGCTCCTGTTTGAGAGTCCAGGTCTTATTTCCTCCCAAGAAAAATTTAGTTATCCCCATTTTATATTTTACTTTGTAAGTTAATCTTATACTTAGGTATCTGATACAGTCTCATTTTTCTTTTTTATATAATTACTACTAACTTTAAAAAAACACTGCTTATTTCAAAGAGAAATAATGTTTAAAAGATGTGAAGCATTTAATCCTTGAATGCTGGAAACACTTTAGAAGTATTGTAAGCACATCTGTATTACATTACACACAGGGAAAAGAATGTATGAATTCTATGATCTGTGGGCACTAAGGTGGCTGGTTTAGAAAAACAGTATTTTGCATTTCAAGTTTCTTTTCAACATAAAGAATATTCTGCAATTCCACGCTGGGGTGTGTGGTCACGGAAGCATAAGTGAAGTTATGGTTTTACAGTTGTTCTCTAACTTTAGTCAGCTTGGCTCTGCATTTTGTTAAGCCCTTTTATTTTTCCTGATTTGAAAACGATTGCATGAGACAAACTCAGAAGATGGAGAAATCACTACATCATATTTTTTAATAAGTGTCCTGCATGTCTTAGTCAGCTATGATTATGGTGCAGATAATTTTTTACTAATCAGGAAATACCAAAGTTTGTGAATGATTTACTCTTAAAATTACAGCAAATTTAAATGATCCCAATGATATCCTCACTCTTGATCACTTGTGTTCCAGTGTGCTTTTTTGAGCAGGAGATAAAAGGATGGAGTTACAGCCGTTAGGCTGGATATCTCATGTGATATGTGTTTTGCATGTGAATATCACCTGTCATTGGTAGAGATGAATAAAAATGCTGGAGAACTTCTGCACTACACTGATTGACATGTTCTCAGCTTTTTCTTCTTTGACATGAAATGACATTAACATGCCAATATATTCTCATATGTACACGCTAGTGAGCTAGCTAGAATTCCACCCTTTCACTCCTACCCCAGAAAGCAAGCAAGAATGAATGTTCTGGGGATGCATATTCAGTCACCTCAAACTTATTTTTTTAAAGTAATGATTTGAGAATTTCATACTTTAATGACCACTAGCATCTATTTACCTGTGACACATTTGGCATCTGTGTCATGATAAACTCTGTATTTCTTAAATTTTATATAGCAATATAAATTTCTGGAAACCAGTTATAATTAGAATAATTGACTTTTTACAAAAGCCAATTTTATAACCAGTTATTTTATTGCCATGTTACTAGAAATTATAAGGTGATTGGTTGTCTTTAAGGCTCAAAATAAATATATTTGAGGAATTTGAATGGTTAGCTCATTCTTTTATTCAAGAAAAATGACAGCATAAATATTATTATTTTTTATTTTTAATTTTTGAGGCGGAGTTTCACTCTTGTTGCCCAGGCTGGAGTGCAATGGTGTGATCTCAGCTCACTGCAACCTCTGCCTCCCGGATTCAAGTGATTCTCCTACCTCAGCCTCCGAGTAGCTGTGATTACAGGCATGTGCCACCACGCCCAGCTAATTTTGTATCTTTAGTAGAGGTGGGGTTTCTCTATGATGGTCAGGCTGGTCTCAAACTCCCAACCTCAGGTGATCCGCCCACCTTGGCCTCCCAAAGTGCTGGGATTACAGGTGTGAGCCACCGCACCCGGCCAGCATAAATGTTATGTAAAAGTCTTTAACTGTTTCTTGGTATGAAAATTGGTAACCTGTAGGCTGGGCACGGTGGCTCACACCTGTAATTCCAGCACTTTGGGAGGCCGAGGCAGGCAGATTACGAGGTCAGGAGATCGAGACCATCCTAGCTAACACTGTGAAACCCCGTCTCTACTGAAAATACAAAATAAATTAGCCAGGCGTGGTGGCACGCGCCTGTAGTCCCAGCTACTCGGGAGGCTGAAGCAGGAGATTCACTTGAACCTGGGAGGGGGAGGTTGCAGTGAGCCAAAATTGTGCCACTGCACTCCAGCCTGGGCAACAAAGCAAGACACTATATCAAAAAACAGAAAATAAAAGAAAAAGAAAATTGGTAACTTGTTCTAGAGCTTTCCTAATGTCAGAATATTTGATATTTTTTTATTTAGTTTTAGAACCTCTATAATAATAACTCTTGTACCTACCTTTCTTAGAAGGTATTAAACTTATACTATAAGGAAGTAACTACTGAATTGTCATCACCTTTAAAAAATTTTTAATGTAAAGGACTCTCATATATTTATCTATTAGTATTTTGAATATTAACAGTGTTTCCTGTATTTTTGTTTTTGTTTTTTATTAATAAGATATTATGAACTAGATCCTTACAAAAGTCTCCTAGACAATTTGAGGAACAAAGTGATCATTGAGTATCCAACATTACATGTGGTATTGAAAGGATCCAATAATGACATGAAAGTTCTTCACCAAGGTAAGTGTAAATTTGTTTCTGTAATGCTTAGAATAACTTTAGAGAAACCAAAGCAAAATATGTCCACCCTTATTTCTTTATATGTGTTTTCCCAGTATATTTACACACTTACAGGATCTCCTCTATAGCTACAGTTAATGTGAAGAACCAAGTAAATGCGATGCTGCTACTCTTCTGTTTTTAAGAGTATATAATCTTATAAAATCAATTTTAAGTGAATGAATCAAATTGAATGGCTATAAAATGACTTTTTTTTAGCATGTGATTCTATGTATTTTTGTCTTTTTTTAAGCTAATAGTCTTTCAGTAACTGTCCATGATCACATACATTTACTCCATAGTTAAGACTTTAGACATTTGTAAAATGAGGGATTGCAAAACATTTTTAGTTGACAAGGAAAATGTTGAATGGTTAAAAAAAAAAAAGAAAAAAAAAAAATACCTGGTATCCTACCTTGTAGAAGGAGATAATGTTGCAAGGAACGTTATATTTAAAAATTTGGCAGCATTGAGAATAAGCTAATGCCATTGCCTTTACCCTTTATCTCCTTTTCCAAACCCACTGGTTTTATTTTCTCTGATTTTGTGATATAGGGAAGTACTAGAACTGGAAAAAAATGTACATAAAAGTTTAGTACATAAAATGACTTATCTACATTTGTAAGTACTGATTAAAGTAAACTAAATGTGTTTCTGAATACAAGATTTTAGAGGATGAATAAAATTTAGTGACTACCTTTAAGAAGTGAGGAAGATTACCCACCTTAATCCAAAACTATTTCGTAGCACTTTCAACTAAAAGAATTACAGATACAGGCCAGATTTTGCTATAACAAACTCCAGAGGAGTGTAGAATCTTTGTCTTGGATTGATAATATTTTTTTAAGTAGTATTTGAAATGGGTGGTTTAAGTTTTATTGTTATACCAGCATTACAGGCGGTAAGATGCAGTAACCTATGTTGTAAGGTATTCTCTGTTGTGCATAGTGTTTTTTCCTTGCAAAAATTAATAGGAAAAAAATTATTTTTCAAAGTGACCAAAACTGTATCAGTGCTACAACTTGAAACCAGATTTTAGTTAGCAAACATGATGTTTCTAGTAATAAATTATGGACCTCTAAATCTTATTTTTATTCTTGACATTAATATTTTTTACAATTTGAGAATATTCTGTATTATTTTTTCAAAATAAATTAGGAATTTTAGTTTTAAATGGCCAGTTTCACTTTGTTTAAGCTTTGTATTTTGTTGCTTTTTTCTTAATAAATTCACACAGTGCCCTCTCAAATGTTGGTTTTGGGAAAAGTTGTTTAGTAATGTAGGTTAGTAGCTGGGGCAAACATCATCTGTATAAATAAACAGCACACACAGCTCTCCTTTCACCTTGTTTAGGAATGTACATTCAAGTAAGGCCTCCTGTAATGAAGGAATAAGAAAAGACTACTTTACTAGTGTACTGGGAGCCTTATTGAGTAAAATTTGCTATTTTTCTGGTGGGTATATGATGTTTGACTTATTTACAGGAACACAGATGACTCATGCTTTTAGTACAGAGGATTATTTAGAACTGTGTTAGCAAAGAACTAAAAGTATCTGACAGGATTTTAAAACCATACCAGTTTTGTCACATCATAAGTACACACACCTTAAAAGTAATGCCCAGGTCTTCCTGTACATGCATTTCTTTCTGTAAGTACTTCAAGGTGTCTGTTTCTTTATACATTCTCACAGCATCAGATATTTTGCAGGGTGATCCCTTGATGAGGGAAGGGGATTATGTAAGAAGAGGGCATTTTCTTTGGAAAGCCTTGAAATTCCTTCCCTTTCTGGAGGTAAAAAAGTTGGATTTGATCCTGAGTTTATAGTACAAGTTGTCTCTTACCTAATTTGGGGGTACATGTGTTTCTGATCTGGGATTCAGTACTTCCCACACCTGATGGTTGTTCTAATATTTGTTATGATTGTAGATTGCCATTATTTTTTTTAAGTCTGCCTATATTAATCAGCAGTAGCCAAGATTTTGTTTGTTTGTTGCTTTTCAGTAATGGAAAAGGTTAACTGGAAAAGATTGAGCTATTAAGATAGTCCACTAGATTGGGGATGCTAAGGCTGATTACCTACCTTATATCAATCCAGTGGGAAGTGCTTAGAATGGTGTAACTTGCTTCACAGACTGTTGTTAGACTAGCAGATTTAGATGATTGAGAAAAGCATGCTGCATTTCAATCTAAGGAAGAAAGAATGGAACCCTATTCAAAGAAGAAAACTGGGCACCTTCAATAGGCAAAGAAAGGGGAAAATGTCCCCATACCGCTACAAATCTCTATTAATTTAGAAATGTCAGCAAAATAAACTTTTGATGTTCTAGTATAACTCAAGATTAGAAAATGTCTCAGCCTTCAGAGAAGGAATCCAACCCAAAATTGATTACTGGAATTAGTGAAAATATCTGGCATAGCAGCTACTCATGTGTCAGTCTCTTACTGGGCCAGTAAATCTTCTTCATTCTCCCTTGCTCACCTTTCCTCATTCTTCCTTACCTCTCTTTTCTTTCTTTTCCTTTTGCAGGGAGAGAGGGGAGGATTTTAGGCCTGGAACACACACGTGAAACTTATTATACAATAGTTGCTATAATAGAGTTTGCCTGAGGTACAGAGACAGCCAGAGGAAGAAAAAATCTTATACTATCTTGGAGGCACTGGATGGACTGCTAAAGTTCATAAAATTTCACAAAGATTGGGACGATATCCTGGATGGAACTTATTTCACTTCCTTACTCATAGAAAGGGCTCAGTAAACACTCTTGTGGTTGCTGGTACAATCTGAAATCTAGGTACAACAGCAAACCCCAGGGAATTTGTCAGTTGGAATATGAGGCAAAGTTCCAGGTGTGTACTTCTAGCATCAACTTTTATAAGCTGTGGGCCCTTGAGTATTTGCTCTGCCTCTCTGAGCTTTATTTTTCTTATCTACTCAGTGGAGATAACAACTGTAAGCTCAAAATAACCTATATTTTACCATGACAATTTTTAAAGAGTTATTACCTATTATTTCCTTTTAGCTTCACAAGACAATGAAATAGAACACTTACTCTAGTTCCCATTTTGAAGATTTAGGGAAAAAACACTAAAAGACAGAATGACTTGCAGTTACATTGATTCAGCAAACATGCTCTACATTGTGAGGATAGATACAGAGAAGAAAGGTCAAGTTTCTGTCCTCCAGGAACTCTCAGTTTAGTGAGTGAGTCATAGTCTTGCTTTCTCTAAGCAAAATAGAGTGTTAGAGGAGCTCCATTTCTACTCTTCTTTCCTGTGAAAGGAAGGAGATGACGATTAACTAGTCTTCTGTCACTCCACATTCACTCAACATATACTGACCCTCAATTGAGTTTTAAAAAAATCACGGAAAAAAATTTATTCCAACCACAAGTGGCCGGCCTGGATAATAGTGATCTATTCAGTGGCATGAATATGGATCATAACCACATTGTGAAGTGACCATTCCCAAGTCTTCCACAGAGTCAGGAAGGATGTTACCTCACAAAATATAATTGCCACTTTCAGACATCATTTCTCTATGTATTGTGGCCAGAATTGTATATCCCAGCTGCCTGAGACATAACGTGGTTTGTGTGTCCCTGTGAGCAGTGCTGTTGCTGTACATCAGAAGGGGGGAGAGAAGAGGGACAGAGCAAGCTAAACAGAAACAGTATAAACACTTGACTGTATGTTTACTTATTTTTTTCTAGTGAAAAGTGAATCTACCAAGAACCTTGGCAATGAAAATTGAGCACTTTTTTCTGGAAGAAGAATGTGAAAACTTCCAGACAACTGCAGCAGACTCTGCATTGATGGACTGTTGGCTGATTGGGGTATTGTCAATGGGTGATGGTGGAATTTTTTCTTTGTATGAAAAATAAGCTTAACTCTTTTAAAAAATGTATCTTATAGCCTCTTGAATTAACTGACTTGTAAGACCCCTTTATTCATATTAAGAACTCTCCTTTGCACTTGATCAGCATAGTACTTATTAGGCCTTGGCTTTTAATATGCTTAATTCCATAAACTGAAAACCTTTTTTTTTCTTTTCTCTTTCTTTTTTTTTTTGAAATGGAATCTTGGAGTGCAAGTGGTATGAGCATAGCTTCCTCAAACTCCTGGGCTCAAATAGTCCTCCCACTGCAGCCTCCCAACAGGCTTATACCACCACACTCAGCTAATTTTTTTTTTTTTTTTTTGTGGTAGAGATAGGGTTTCGCTCCTTTGCCCAGGCTGGTCTCAAATTCCTGGCCTCAAGCAATCCTTCCACCTCAGCCTCCAAAGCTTTGGGATTACAGGCATCAGCCACCACATCTGGCCTTGAAAACTTTATTTGTTAATTTGATGCGTGACCAAACCCAAGGATCACCCGTGTCAACCACAAAGTTGGTATTCTCTTTAGTAGAACTTCACTAAACAGAAAGGCAGTGCAATGCACTGTCTAGCCACAGGAGAACTAATCTTCCATCAGTTGCCCTTTCTTATCTTTGGAGTTTATATGTAACTTACCCTTATGAGACAACTTTTCCACTTGAGAAACTCCTAGTACAATGTCTTGTGCTAGAAGCCTGGATAAATACTATTAACTACTGTTTCTTATATTCACTTGAGAAAATCAATGGCTCCACATTGTTTGAGCCATTAGTGCTAACAAATTTGGATTTACTTATTCAAGTCTTATGAATTCTGTGCCTTTCATCACATTCCTAGTCCACTCTCATCATTACTGCAAAAGGGTGTTGTGATGGCCAGTTTTATACTGTGTTTTGATATGTCTAGCAATAACTTAAAGAAAAAAAAACTGGGAAATCTTCAACATGTTATTGGAATGTGTATATATGTATTAATGTATATACATGGCTTAACTTATACATTATGGCAGCTCTGTATACAGTTTGATCTCACATACTGAAAAAAAATTCTTAATTTTATTGGAGTTTATACCACTATGAAACTGCAATATGACTGTAAGAGAGTAAAAAAGATTGTTACATCTGCATTGTATGTGTTGTGTACTTAATGGTTAAAAAGCAATGATAAAATTGGACATTAATGAAATTCATTTTTAATTTACAGTTGAAATAAGTTTTTTACCAAAAAGAAACCAGAGACATTAGTTAAGGAGACTTAAAAAGATTTGAAATATGAAAAGATAATGAGAAGATGAACAGAAGATAAATTTGTGAGACACAAGTGTAACTTGGGGTGAAATTGGAGAAGAGAATCAAAAAACAATAATGCCAGAAAAACCCTTGGTATAAAAGTACTAATGGAAATGTGATTCATAGAAAGTTCTTAGAAAGTGAGGCCTTGCAATTTGAGAAGCATACATACATATATATTTATAATCTCTAAAGCAACTTCAGGAATCTTCTAACATACGATAAAGAATTTGTGTAGAATTATGTTGTTCACATTATTATTGGAGAGACAAATGAGATTTCAAGGAATTTGTTTATAATCGAAAGTGAAATGTGTCTTCTTGAAACCAGCAAGAAATAGATGAATTGAGTGAAACGTGTTATTAGGAAAAGTGGGATAAAGTATACAAAAAGAACATGCGATCTGAATATGATCTGAATATCAGGGTGGATAGGAATTTTTTGACAGTGAAATCTGTTATGATGTAGTCTCATTTCCAGGAAAAGTCTTGAGTTCCGTCCCTTCTGAATTTAAATTGAAAACTGGACAAAAAACAAACTATCCTGTACTTTTTCCACTGCTCAGGAGGAAAAAAAGAAATCTACATCATCTAATGCATCTTTGCCATCTTTATGTTCTAGAATTCTATTAGACTTTTCAATTATAGGGTATTAGGAAAGAATATAACTCTTAGAATTCCCCTAAATATAATTATCAATTCATTTGATTAATATGCACATTTATTCCTATAAGATTTACAATACACATGTGTTTTAGTGAATTCTCAATGGCTTGGAGAGAATGAAATTGGAATAATTAACTGAAAACCCTAGATGTTTGTAGCATTAAGACCCAATATCTTTGTGGAGGCCCTCTCCATGTTAGCTTATTGACAAATTCTGGTGTGTAAACAAACTCCTTGACCCATGTTAAGTTCAGCATGCTGCATTTTGTTCATGAATCACATTTTAAAAGGAGAAAAGCTCCACTTGGTTTTCTTTCTTTTTTTAAACCATGATTTCAAAGAGAAGATACGCCTTTCATAGTTGCTAATTATATGTATAGGATTAATAGTCATAAATTATAGTAAGTAAAACTTGTACCTATTCCTATTATACATATGACTTGGCGAGGCACAGTGGCTCACACCTGTAATCCCAACACTTTGGGAGGCTGAGGCGGATGGATCACAAGGTCAGGAGTTTGAGACCAACCTGGCCAACATGGCAAAACCCTGTCTCTACTAAAAATATAAAAATTAGCCAGGCATGGTGGCAGGCACCTGTAGTTCCAGCTACTCAGGAAGCTGAGGCAGGAGAATCACTTGAACCCTGGTGGCAGAGTTTGCAGTGAGCTGAGATTGTGCCAATGCACTCCTGGGCACTGCCTGGGTGACAGAGTGAGACTCTGCCTCAAAAAAAAAAAAAAGAGAGTTATTAAAAATAGATACTTAAGATTCGAAAATGTAGTTGATCCAGTTTGTTTCCCTGTAGCAAGTAGTGGGATTCAGGTTTCTTGACATACAATAAAATGTTAATCACACAACTATAATACCAACAATTTTCTTTATACATTTTTGTTTAATTAGGTTGACATATACTTTGTGTTATACCTTATTTCTTGTTACTAAATTTTACATAAAGATGCTAGTCTCTTTTTATTTAATCATATGCTGTTATGGTTTGGATGTAGTTTGTTACTACCAAAACTCATGTTGAAATTAGATTCCCCATGTGCTAGTGTTGGGAGGTAGAGCCTAATGGAAGGTGCTTGGGTCATGGGGGCAGATAGATCCCACATGAATAAACTAATGCCCTCCTACAGGGGTGAGTGAGTTCTCATTCTTGCTGTCATGGGAATGGATTAGTTCCCACAAGAGCGGGTTATTAACGAGTCTGACTTTCTTGATTTTCTCATTTTTGCCTTCTCCCTTCCCATGTGATCTCTTTGCACATGCCTACTCCCCTTTCACTTTGTACCAAGAGTGGAGGCAACATGAGACCTTCACCAGATACAGCTGCCCAATCTTGAGCCTTCCAGCCACCAGAATCATGAGTCAAATAAAACTCTTTTTAAAAATAAGTTACCCAGTCTTAGATATTCTATTATAGCAACAGAAAATGGACTAAGCCATACTCTATTGCATTAAAATGTGTTGTTTATTTGCAAGTGACAAAAACTCAAAATAGTGTTAGCATGAAGGACAGTTTATTGGCTTATATACAGGGAAGTCCAGGCATGACTGGGTCCTGGGTTCAAACATCAAAAGAAGTCATCTTGCCATCCTACACACTTAGCTCTGATTATTTTCTTTTTTATAGATTGGTTTTCTCCAGATTTTCCCTTTGGGGATATTCTGTATGGGATGAGGAGCAGTGAGGTTAGAGGATGGTGGATAACAGCAATTGACAGTTTCAGCTTACCTTAGCATAACAAGGCTGAAAGCTTTTATAAAGCAAGCTATGTAAAATTTTGGAGAAGTACTTTGATTTTGCCCAGATTGAATCACATTCTGTTCCTGAGCTAATCAAAAGAGGAATTCACCCAAAGGAGGGGGAAATTTTTAGAGGAAAGCCAGAATGTAGGGAGCAAGTGAGGAAAGGTAGTTACTGGGAATACGAAAGTAGCACGTTCATTGCACCTTATTTGAATTTGAGTAGCAAGAAGTTTCTGATTTGTACCAACAGAAGGAGTAAAGTTCAGATTTAATCTGCAAGTCTTTATTGTTTTTAACTAGAGATTTTAATTTCTGCTTATCATTGCTGCTTTGAGTTGCCATTATAGGTTTTTGGATTTTTTTTTAATGCCATCCATTTTTATTTGACATCATGTTGTTGCTAGTTTGAGCAGATGTACATAGCATATGTTTCCATTACCAATTTGGAAATTTTTCCCAGTGGCATCAGCATTTGAGAAATACTGATTTTGAAATTAGAGTACTAGGGAAAAATGCTTCAAAAATGAAGACTACTTAAATAGAAACTGGCTTTAAATAAAGCTTTGGGGATCTGTACTTGACTAAAAAATATTTTCTTTAAACTTTGGTCTTTGAAAACTAAAGTGTGTGTGCATGTGTTCATTAAAATGACCTGTAGCATGAACATTTTCCATACTGGAGTGTGACATACTGCACTCATTTTGAACTTTAGAACCAAGTGCATCCTTTAGCATTTGATGAGCTACTATATAACTCTATTTCCAGCTTTATTTTCTTGCCAAATAAAGTACCAAAGCTCAGCCTGACATTTGGTAACCCCTGACTTGGTCCCAACCTAATTTTACAGCTTGCTCACTCTCAGTCACTCTCCTTTTCAAACTGCTTCAGTCACATGAAACATCAAGGACCAATTTCATTCTGCATGTGGGTATGCAGTTTTCCCAACACCATTTATTGAAGAGATTATTTTTTCTTCATTATGTCTTGGTAGCCTTGTCAAAGATAGTTACGTGGGTTTATTTCTGGGATCTAATCTGTTCCTTTGTTCTATGTGTCTTTTTATGGAGAACAATGCTGTTTTGATTACTATAGCTTTGTAATATATTTTGAAGTTGGGTGGTGTGATGTCTTCAGCTTGTTCTTTTTGCTTTGGCCACTCAAGCTCCTTGGTGGTTCTATCAAATTTTAGGATTGTCTTTTTCTGTTTCTGTGGGGGGAAAAAAAAAGGCATTGGAATTTTTATTAGGATTACATTGGACCTGTAGATTACTTTGGGTAGTATGGAAATTTTAACAAAATTATTTCCATTCATGAACATGGTACATCTTTCCATTTATTTGTATCTTCAGCTTCTTGCATCGATGGCTTGTAGGTTTCGGTAAACAGATTTTTCACCTCCTTCATTAAGTTTATTTCTAAGTATTCTATTGTTTTTGATGCTATTGTCAGTAGGATTATTTCTTTTTCAAACAGTTTATTGTTAGCGTGTAGAAACATAACTGATTTTTTTTTGCTGGGCGCGGTGGCTCACGCCTGTAATCCCAGCACTTTGGGAGGCTGAGGCAGGTGGATCACAAGGTCAAGAAATTGAGACCATCCTGGCTAACACGGTGAAACTCTGTCTCTACTAAAAATACAAAATATTTACCAGGCATGGTGGTGGGTGCCTGTAGTCCCAGCTACTCAGGAGGCTGAGGCAGGAGAATGGCGTGAACGTGGGAGGTGGAGCTTGCAGTGAGCCGAGATCGTGCCACTGCACTCCAGCCTGGGTGACAGAGTGAGACTCCATCTCAAAAAAAAAAAAAAAAAGAAACACAACTGATTTTTGTATGTCGATTTCATATCTTGCAACTGTACTGAATGTATTAGTTCTAACAGTTTTTGGTGGAGTCTTTTGGATTTTCTATATCATGTCATCTGTAAACATACTATTTAGCTTCTTCCTTACTGATTTGAATTCCTTTTATTTTTCTTGACTAATTGCTAAGGCTGGGACTTGCAGTACTATGTTGAATAGAACTGGTGAGAGTGGGGACCCTTGTCTTGTTCCTGATCTTAGCAAAAAAAGATTTCAGCTTTTCACTGTTGAGTATGATGTTAGCTGTAGCCTTAACACATATGGCCTTTCTATGTTAAGATACATTCCTTTCATACCTAATTTGTTGAGAGTCTTTATCATGAAAAGATGTTGAATTTTGTCACGTGCTTTTTCTGCCTCTGTTGAGATGATCATATGATTTTTATCCTTCATTCTGTTAATGTGGTGTATCACATGTATTGATTTGCATGTGGCACCATCTTTGTATCCCAGGGATAAGTTGCACTTAGTCATGGCTTATGATCCTTTCAATGTGCTGTTAAATTCAGTTTGCTAGTGTTTTGTTGAGAATTTTTGTATCTAGGTTCAATAGGGATATTGG